TAGGGAAAAACACAGATATAGGTAGGAGATTGGATGAAACAGGCTTTGAAATTGAGGTAGATGATGCTATGGTTCAAGGGTCAGCATGATAAAAGTTGACAGAAAGGGAATAGAATTCTGCAGGAGACTTTAAGGTGAGGGGAAAAAAAACAGGTGCAGACAGGATGAATAAAAGGAAAGAAGCTGGGTTTAGACAGTCTGTTGCAGAGATATTTTTCTTCTGTCTCAAAACACAGGCCTAAGGATTCACTTACCCAGAACTTCTGTTTCTGTCCATTTTTGTCAGCTAATGCTCCCCACCTGTTACAAGAGATGGTACTAATGAGACCTTTGATGTACATGTTCACATTTTGTCGCTTTCAACAAGCAACCAGAAAAACAAAGCTTGTCTTAGTCAGTTGTCCTAATACTGGTATCAGAACAAAGCATGACTGATATGTGTCTCCATGTTTAAATAACAAACTCTGCTGCTGACAACAATGAAGTACCCTGCTAGCCACAAGCCAAATTTCCCTTAGGGACTATACAAACTTATCTCCAGTGTAATTTTAGTTTGTCATTGTGAAAACCTCTTTTCATTGACAGAATCTCTCCTGTGGAGAGCTTGCCAGCTGAACTGAACTGTGTAGAAGTATTGAAATTAATGCGAACACATTTCTTCAATACAGCTGAAGATCACTAGGAACATTTTTGTTAAAGATCTCATCCAACACCTTTACAAAAATAGATGTTGAGTTGGGACTGAAAACATTCCCAGCTTTTCTCAGCTCAAATTAAATTGCTGACAATCTAATCTGCTTTACTACACAGTGTGGGGAATGACCCATACACTTATTTGATGTTTCTTTGACATCTTCAGAGATGTGCTAAATGTTGTGGCAATATCCATGAAAATACACAAGAGATTGTTCCCACCTGCCAGGTGATAGGACTTTCATAATTGTGTACCTGTAGCTGAATTGCTGGGTGCTCTGAGCTGTTCAGCCTCACAGGGCAAAAGAAGTTCCAAGGCCATTGTCTGGATGTAGTTCAATGAGCTAAAGCTGCACTGCACACTTTGGGTAGCAATGTAAATATGGTATGTCTGCTGATTGCTTAAAGAGCTCTATCTCATTCTGCGTTTATACAATGTGTGCTTGTCTAGCTGCTGTTCACAGGCCATGATGTTTTGAGTGCCTCTACAAGGGCGCAAATAAACAGAAAGTCAGACACATGAACTTTTATGGACTTTTCCACAATGTAAAGTTTATCCTAGAATATATAGAATGCCATTCACAGGATGTTTATCAGTGTATATCCCACCAATGCCACATGGTTGAGCTGTATTTGCAATGCTCTATTCACTTTGAAAGGCAAGCAGCAAAAATATGATGAGAAATCCCACATTGTGAATTGGGAAACTACGATTTTTCCATCATCTTTGTAAAAAATTTTGAACACTCATGGTAGCATCAGCTCTTCTTGGTTAATAGTAAACCCTAATGTATGTGGAATATCTGCACTTCCAGTAAAAGGAAAAAAAAAAGCAAGACAAATTGGTGACTAGCAGAGAGGTGAAGCCTGCATTACAGTTGGAAGCGCAAATTGTAGCTACTGCTCATGAAATGCAAGAAGTCAGAAAAGCAGTGTTGGTCATAATGACCACTGAATGTAATTGCTGCTTTGTAAAAAGGCCTCCTGATGCTTTTTCTTTGAATTACCATGTGAAAGTTCAGGAATTACTAATAATCTTTGCCATTTCTTTTCCAAATATATTTCAGACACAGTCTGTCATGATCATAAATTTAAAAAAAGAGATATAGTCGGGTATCCGATTTCATATCAGATTCAGATTTACTTGTTTCCTCATGAAAATTTTACTTAAAAAAAATCCATCAGTCTTACAGACAGGGCAAAATTACTTTGAATTTGTATTCATGTATTCCTGTCCTGCAGACTTACATTTCTGTAATTAAATATTTTTATAACATTTGTAATTTTCTAAAAAAAAGTCAGGTTCTAGCTTTATACACTGATACAAATTCATTGCTTCTCAGAAATGTTTCTAAATGGAAGAAAACTTAGAAATCAAAATGATAAAGGATCCTTTTTTATCCTTGACTATAAGATACCCATGAATATAATTTCCTAGGTTTTGTTCCATCATAGTCAGGTATAAACAGAAGTACTTGACATACGCATTTTATCTTACAGTTTAGAAAGAAGAGCTGCTTACTCAGTAATCCATGCCCATGGGCATTCGTTCAAATGCTCTAAACTATAATATATTAAATTAAAGTAAAGTTTATCACAAGAGTGCAGCAGCAGGTCAAGAAAACTGACTAATCCTCTTTATTCAGGATCTGCCATTCTGTGTCCAGAGCACTGTGCCCAGTTTTAGGCTTCCCCATACAGGAAAGACATTAACAGGCTGGAACAAGACCAGCAGGAGTCTACTGAGATGTTTGGGATCTGGAGCACATGATGTACAAGGAGAAGCTGAGGGAGCTGGCTTTGTTCAGCCCTCAGGAGAGGTGGCTCAGGGGAGATCTATTTGTTGTCTTCTGCTTTACAAAGGGTGGGTATAGAGAAGATAGAGCAGACTCTTCTGATACATGGACAGCAATGTACAAATTATGGTCACAGTTTTCAGCAAGGGAAATTGCAAATGGACAGAAGGAAAAAAGTGTTTTACAACAGGATTGGTTAGCCACTGCTGAAGTGAGGTTGAGGAATATCTGTCCTCAGAGATATCCAAAACTCAATCTGAGAAGCCCCATGAACCTTAATTATGAAGGTAGCTCTGCTTGAAACTGGGGGATTAAACTAGATGACCTTCAGAGATCCCTTCTAATCTGAAGTATTCAATGATCTGAGCAACTTGATCTAAGATAGCCCTGCCAATCTAGGGCACAGAGAGTTAGACCAAACAAGCCTCAGTTAGTCCACAGTTCTATGAATTCTTAAATTTTGTATTCAATGTATAGATTTTGTGTAACAGTTAAATAACCAAGTATACTGATCAATTATGATGGGGCAAGCAATTTTGCCAATTTGTTTAATGGCTGCAATCTAAAGAGCAGATAAATGAGGTTGATTTACTGTTTACTGATCAAGACCAGTCCTGGGATTAGTGCGTGAGTCAGGAACAGGATTTAGCAGGAAAGATGGAGCAGAGTGTCATCTCCATAGATGCTGAACTTTACTGGCAGTAACTGTGGCATGAGGTCCTAGGCCTGTTTACAAAGCCTTTCCTAAAACTTACCATGACTTGTTCAGGCTTGTTGCAAAGGTTGGCTGAGATTCACCAGTTCTCATTTCTCCCCGGCTACCACGCTTCTCTCAATCTGAACAAGCACTCAGATGTAATGGAAACAGCTGTTGTTTTGTGAACCACACTCTCTATATATTGTTCAATGATGCAGTGTTTGTAGACACATAACAGTTTGATTTGACATGTTGCCTCTGGGAATGAAATGCCAAGACCATCAAGAGCATTTCTGGGGATGTCTTGGCTCATTCATACTAATATATCTTCTAAAGAGGAAGACATTCTTTCAAAAAACTCCTAAGTGGAAAGTGTTTCTGCAGTAGTATCTTTGGGAAAGGAGGACATGTTTTCTAAAATAAATTTGTCAATTTTATGAAATAGTTTCATTATTTCAGTCTTACTGACAGAATTAATTAATTCTGCATTGTATTCCTTAGGTGCACCTATCAAACATGTTATGGCATCTAAGCACAGCTTCCACTTTAAGCTTAATTTGAGTTTAGATTCCTCAGAGAAAACAAATCTCTAAATATCCTTTCTGTTTCTAAGCCAGGCATCTGAGGGTGAAATTTCTGAGTTATAAAGAAATACATGGTATAAATTAATAATATTAAATTCAGCTTTAATTTTAACTGCTGTTTTCCTTGCTTCTGTAAGCACTACTCCTTGAAATATGAACAAAGACCGACTGAGAAGAATCTGTTCAAATGATCTGATAATATTTAGTAATCTGAAAATAGATTTAGGGGAAATGTTAACCTTCTAAAGATCTTAGCCATCCACTAGGCTGATTGGATGGCATCTTATTTCAACAAGTCAGAAATGGTCTTGTTTCTATGGAGTTCACGCCCTGTATGTTTTCCTACATAGATGGGACTCTGTACAAATATATTTTCCTGAATCTGAGTAATCTTTGGTTTATTTAATATTTTAATATAGACATTATTTGCAAAAGTTTATTCATTAATAAATTAAAAAGGAGTCCTCATGGGAGACACTATGGGAGCAAAAAGTAACCTGGTATATTATTGATAGCAACTGTGGACAGTGATAACATTCTAGATCATTTTCCCTTGAGACCAGCAGCTCAGAGAAAGTGTTGGTTGGTCCTTCAAAATCTTCAAGACCAAAATTAAAAAGAAATTTAGCAACTAGTAGTATAATCTTGAAGGAGCCAAATGAGCCATTGGGGTTTAAAAGTGAAACCCATACCACTCATCTCTGTCCCAGAAAAGTGAAAGATCTGTACAGATTATGAAAGGCACCAGTAGTATAAAGGTATCATTAATCAATGCAAATTTTTGCTTTGGGTATATTGTGGAAAAATAGAATACATAATAGTTCCTTTACAATATTTATAAAAACGTAGGTTTCTTCTGACATTTAAGCAGTACATTGGCAGTATTATCCTTAATGTAAATACTAATGTCAGAACTGGGGTTAGAATTTGTCTTTTTCCTGACAGTAAAACACTGTGGGATTTAGTTCAGATTAAGATATCTAAAATTATGTGTCCCACGGTAGAAAAAAAGTATATTGGGATCCATTCACTTGCCTAAATGCAGGTATCTAGGGTTATTTGAGATGCCTTAGAGTGCCTGAGGGATCCACATGTTTCTGGCAGACATGACAGAGGAATTGTGAAACATCCATGTCCTTTTGGAGACACAAACAGCTGGGAAGCTCTTCCCACTTCTGGTAGCACCAAATATTTTTGTGGGGACAACTAGTGGATCCACAAGCAGTTATAGCTGAGTTGCCCTCCAGTCACTGTTGACTTTGTTGACTAGATCACCCTCTTTGTGACAAGAATTTGGGTATTTTGTACATCACACCTGCCCGAATCTCAAAGGAGAAGACTGGAAATTATTAGGAAATATACAGTAAATGAAGCGATAGAATGGGAATCAGCAGACAATAGAATGTATCAACTTCCAGAACTACTCAACTGTAACACATGATTTCAGAATAAACGATGAGGAGAATTAAGACATTACAGAATGAAGGACTTCAATTCTGTCCATCTTAAACCATCAGGGATAAGATCAAA